ATTTTTTTTTACAAATCAAATCGACATCACGTCTCCAATTCAAGCTTCAGCGGAGGAAAAGTCTGAAAGGTGGTCAGTGGATGGCAGTATAGCAAATGGGTTCCTGTCCTAATGTGCACATCTGGAGTTGTATTCTCTCGTGTGAGCGATTTTCTCTGGTACATCTGGTTTCCTCTCACTTGCAAAACACTTATTACATAAGAACGTGGCCAACCACCGCCAAGACCCTTCTGGAAAGGAGGTTTGAGACTCGGTGAGGGTTTTCTGGATAATTAATTAGTATTGTCTTGATGTCTCGTAAACACTAGTGCAGTGATTCATAATTTCAGCCAGATCGCGTGAGTGAAATGTGTCGTAAACCCTCCTCCACCCGACACAGCCCATTTATAAAAGTGTCACGTGATGAACAGAAGTGCCAGTGTGTGACTGCTTAAGACACACCGGTGTGCTCGAGAGCGATGTCACGACATTCTATTTATTGTGTTATTCCAGAACACATACATCACACGGGGGGGGGGATACAAATCGCAAACATGTAACGAACCCAGAATCTCAAATGGGGGCCGTCTGGAGGCCCTTGGGGTCACTGCTGGATGGGAAATTGCCGGGAGCGGCAGATTAAGGGGGAAGGAGAGAGAAGGAATAATGTAACCAAACTAAACAGGATAATAAAGTGACATAAGCGCGTTGTTTGGGTTTATCATCCTTGTTTTCCCCTAGGAGCAACGGTCATGGGGTGGTTGCTACAATGTTTCAGTGTCAGGAGTCCATCCCATTGCCCTCATTGATCCGGCTATTCGTGCTGGGTTGAGTAGAGCAATGTTACAACATTTAACAATTGGGTATGACATTTCGATAATAGTTAAAACCAGCATCATCAGGCAGCTGCTATAATTATAGTGCAGCGATTCATGCACTGCACGACGAGCCTGCCAACCTGAGTTCGATTCCCAGCCATGGCTGACATCAATGTCAAGTGATATCCGATCTGGTCCTGGGACCCTCACGTCCTTACCCATCCTACACTGACACCGTAGTCATCTTGCTTGGATTGGTGGGCAGTTCATCAGCCACGTTATGTGAACCTTAAGGCGAGACCCGGGGGTCCCGAATAAACGGAAGTCAAAATCGTAATTAATTGATTTATTTCTGGCGACTCCGTCCCACCGCGCACACAAACGCCGTGACCCGCCTGGCGCGCATCGTTCTGTTGTCGTGTCCTCGCGCAGCAGCAAGGACGAATGCGCACAAGATCTGAACAAACGAATGCACTCCATGCTCGGGTATGGGCAGGATCATAAGTCTTATCCAAAGCTGCTCAAACTGCCTACACGACTTAAGTCCTTTATTTGTTGAAACGGTATGCACAATAATACAGTGAAACTGCTCTATTATCGTCATTTATTATTTGTGACCTAACAATGTCTGCAGCCAGGATCAATAAATGACAATCCTATTACCTGCAGATATTTAACAGACGAGGTGCGTTGCACCGTTAATTCCTCCTGTTTGATAACTAAGTAACACAATTTTTGTTCCTGGGTAGTGTTATTTCGCATTTGCTTTTGCCTAAAAAGTATAGAATATGGCTATTATACCCCACAAACTTTGCTTTTGTGACCAGGACAGTGATATTTTGAAATGTACCTCTTTTCACTGAGAAAACGGGCGAATTTGTGTCTTTTCGTTCACAGTGAGAAAAAAAACAACATATAAATCTAAATTAACATGTATTTATACTAAAATAATAAAACATATATAGGGCAGCCGTAATCCGCTTAGAGGGCCGTGGCCAGCATTAGCAGTTCATCAATGAAATCCAAACGCATATGAGCAGTTAGCAGAAAAAATTACTGCTTATGGAATTAATGGGTATTAAAGGTTTTACAAGCACGCTACCTCTCCTTTATATATTTTTATGTAGCTGTAAGAATCGTGTTTTTACATGTAATTTAATTCAGTTAAATATATAATGTTTTGACTCAATTTTAAGAAAGATCCTGATGCAGTACAAATGGGAACTGCCCGCGAAATGTGCTCGCAGGGCCCTTTGTCAATCCACTGCTGTTGAGGGCCTCCCCGTGCCGTGTGCGAAGTGGGGGGTTATTTCACCATATTTCACCAACGCTACGCGTGAAATATCGCGATTCGCGACGTCTCGTTTGTCCCTTGCTCACGCGCCCACACACACATTCTCTGTCACGTGGCCTCACCGCCTGCTGCTGTATATTTGGAGTCTGCGTGGCGATCTCTCCCCGTGACGCGTGGATTTTTCTCCGGGTCCTTCGGGGTTTCCCTCCACATTTAGAAACATCACGCGTTTAGAGTAATTGGCTACAAACAAAAAACATTCCGTATGATTTGTAACCACGTCGCTTCTGAAAACGAGCTATATAGCTCAGTGGGCCTTGCTTGGTAAAATATGCGGTTTTTGTTTTAGGTTAGTTTTAACGACTACTAAGGAACAGCAACTTTGTAAAAATAAAAACCTTAAAGGGACATAAATTAAAGGGGACGACAGGGAGCTCACCAACCCCAATGCTAAACTCACCACAGCTCACCAACACCACCAGTAAACTGAGAGGCGAACTCTAAAAGCGTGCGGTTCTGCGTTGGTAGCAGTGTCGGATTATCCTCGTAGCAAAAGTAGCTCCATATGCAGTAGCTACTACACAAGCTACGGGCCCCGCACTTTTAAGGGCCCCGCGCCAAATGCTTTCAAGCTATCAATTCCGTTTCCCTGATTCTGAACTTGCTCTATTACTATAGTACTATACTGCCTTCAACTTTTATGAACGACTGGGTGTTTAAGGTTATCGATTTGTCGTATTATCTGGCTGTGTAGAAAATGAAAAAATACAATAACTTTACTGTGCAAGTAAAAAATGTGTTTTGATATTAGTGTGTGATTTTAGAGGGCCCCTTGACAACATCATGCTACAGGTCCCGCTTCATCTGGCACTGGTTGCTATTAGTGGTGGTGGGCAGTGCATCAACACCCGGTGCGTCTGTGCTGACTGCGCTTCTTCGCCTGCACCGACTCGCGCTGACCAACGTGAAGAGGGGCTACTGGTCACATGACGCCCGTGACACCCGCACACGACGTGGTTAGCAAGCGAGTGTCCAGGCAGTAGGAACAGCGTGGGAAGGGAGTAATGGCAAGGCGAGGCACGTTGGTCTCTGTGGAAGAGAGACGTGCTTCTAAGGGGGTGGGATGACTGTTACGTGTCGAGGTTAATGTTGATGAACTATGAAGAAGGGCCATTACCTGAAACGTCGTCTGTTTTTTTTAATCCTGTTAAGGCCAGAGTGATATTGACAAAGGTGTTTTGTTGTTGCAAATTGTGCTTGTGCACCACGACCAACGCAGCATGGTTGAGTAATGTATGCCATGTTGGAGAGGGCTGCTGCTGACGGGGCTGGTTTGGAGTCTTTATTTTGCGTGAGCGGCTCGTGAGGCTATGGGTGTGAGGAAAGGTGGGGGCGGGGGCATCGTTGGCTTGGCAGTGCAGCCGCGCCTCCAAACCAGTATACCCGGGTTGCACACCGCGCGCGGGTCTCTCCCAAGACGCATTCTCCTTGCGCGATGAACGCGACTGATGCGCTGTGCCACACAAGGAGGACAACATGCGTGTTTGGGAAGAGGAGAGGAACGGTGAACGTGATGGATGGAGAGGAGGAGCAGGAATACGGGAAAATGGAAGACGAACCAGCGGCATAAGTCCGTGATTTTTTTTACCACCGTTCAACAACCAAATTGTACGATGTGCATGTACAGTTCTGTTGTCGATCCACTGCTGGATGAGACGCCTCCTTGCACTGTATCAGTCATAAGGGCGCCGCGGTGGCTATGAGATGTTAACTACCTCGCCTGGTATACAGGAGGTCCTGGGTCGATCGCGACCCTGACATTTGCGTGTCTCTCTCCCCATGGTCGCGTGGGTTTTTCTCCGGGTCCTCCGCTTTTCCCCTCCACATTTAGAAACGTGCGTTTAGAGAGTACTTGGCTGCTCTAAAGTTCCACGTGATAAGCCACTTCGTTGAGCTATCATTAGTGGCCATGTGGCTTCGTGAAGAAGATAGTTGTAGCTCAGTGGGCCTTGCCTGCTAAAGTGAAATAACATCGTTTTAAGCCACGACGATGGTCAGTGCAGCCGTGCGGGTGGCTGAAGCCAGCGGCGAGCGTGGACGTTGAGAGCTCGCACGGCGGAGCATGGCGATAGCGCTGCGTTGCCCTCTGCTGGCGGAAGCGAATGCCCGCAGCAGCAGCCTGCCACGTGCCACCTGTTTCACCCACGCTCGGTGGTTGCCCGCCCAAGCATTGAGCAGCCAAGGAGAGGCTTGCCTGGCTTCACTCGGCTCAGCTTCCGAGGTCTGGTGCGATGGGGCGCACTCCGGGTAAACACAAACACTGCAGAGCGCTTTGGCGGAAATTATGGACTGCGTTGGCAGTCGTGCACAAACCCCAATAATATTTATATTTAACACGTAAAAGCCAATATTCGTCATCAACACTGCCTTATAAAGAAGGAAAGTATAAAATAGGCAAACGTTTCGGGGAATGGCTGTTCTTTGGAGATCTTTGAAGAGCAGATGTGACTATCTTACCGTGCAACCAATGGGACTTTGCAATTATCAAAAATGATTAAAAATAAGAGGTTTCACCCTTTCTGGAAATTGCCACAAAGGGAAAAACGGTGAAACCCCTTATTATTAAAGTAATATAATTTTAGTATACTCATGTTGAACCTATTTCAAGCGCGTGTATAAAACCAAGTAACACATGTATACCGTACAGCCTTGTTCCCTTGTTAAAAAGAAACACGATTCAGCATCCTTCTCTACGCTATGGCCAATGAATACATTTGGACCCTTTAAAATACATTGATGTGTGTATAAGTAGTATTTATTTGGCTGTTCGAGGTGTGCATTTAACAGTTGTATGTTGAACTTCTTTCGCACGGTACGTATCCACCCGTGCTAATCGGAGTTGCACATGAACCACTAATTATAAAATATCACAAATAATTTAACGATGCTACTGCTACGTTGGTAATGGTGCACCAGGAATATAACTCAACACGTTCGTCAATTACACTGTGGTCTTGAAATAAATAACATAAAAATAGTCGACGTTTCACCTTGATGAGCAATTGCCCGAAACGTTGCCTATGATATAGCCTTCTTTTAAAGGACCGTTTATTGACGATTGTGAGATACATTTTTAAGCATGTAAGGTCATACGTGGAAGTACGGTGCTACTGCCGAAAGCGACCACCTATTACATTCTGCGACCACGGTTTACATACATACATACACACACGCACACAACAACATCCACCCAGCCAACATTTCACCACTAGCACCCAACCCATATCTCACCGCCTCAACACGCGCCTCCCCCTCTCGCCACCCACCCCGAGACCGATCCAACCTCCATCCATTCCTGCGCCCAGAGCTGCTGATATATAGTTGCTGGGTCCCACATTTCTGTTCTTCTTCCACACTTCTTGTTGTCGGAAGTTTGGTTGGGGTGGCCTTTGTGGGTGGGACGCGTCAGTGTCACCCGACACCATGAAGACCTCCAGCCACGACGTCAACTCGGCGTCGTCTCCCAACAACGTGGAGGTGTTGCCGGCGGTCGCCACAGGGCTTCGTCTGCAGGTCCTGGACGTGTCTGCTCCCCCGGCAGCGGTCGCTTTGATCATCGCCGTTCTCATTTCTTTGGTGGCTCTCGTCGAGAGCTGGCGCTCATCTCGGAGGCGCACCGCGCTCCTGGACGTGGCTCGACACGCAGAGAGCCTTCCTCGAGATGCCGCGCTCAACTCCTCGTGCGCTTCAAAGCTCGTTGATCCTCACTCGTCGTCTGATATTCTGTCCACTACGACTACTACATCGTCATCATCGTCGTCGGCGTCTATGCAATCGACTCTGGCTATTCTAGCAGTGAATCCGTCACGTACTCCAACATCGACCGCATCGTTTACTTCGACATCCACTCAGTTGTCTATTCCATCATCTCATTTACCACCACCACCACCATCTATTCAACCATCTTCTCCAGCATGTACCCTATCTCAGTTACCTGCACATTCGCCATCAGCAGCAGCATCTTCACCGGCGGTAGCAGCAGCGCCGCTCCACTCTCTGCGCACTCTCCCTGGTCCCACGCCGTGGCCCTTCGTGGGAAACTCTCTCCAGCTGGGGCCCATGCCCCACCTGACCTTCCAGCGCATGGCCTCCACGTACGGGCCCCTATTCCGCATCCGCTTGGGCAGCAGGGACGTGGTGGTGCTCAACGGCGACAGCCTCGTCCGAGAGGCGCTGGTGTGCCGGGGCTCCGAGTTCGCGGGCCGCCCGGCCTTCCGCTCCTTCTCCATGGTGTCCGGAGGCCACAGCGTGGCCTTCGGGGGCTACTGCGAGCTGTGGAGGCTGCACAGACGGCTCGCTCAGTCCACGCTGCGCGCGTTCTCCACGGGCGGCACGGACGCGCGCCGCGCGCTCGAAGGCCACGTCGTGATGGAAGCGGCCGAGCTCCTGCGCGTGATGATGGCCTCGTGTCGCCGCTCCACCGCGGGCTCCGTGGACCCGGCCCAAGCCCTCGTGGTGGCCGTGGCCAACGTGACGTCTGCGCTGTGCTTCGGCCGACGATACGGGCACGACGACGCCGAATTCTGCGAGCTTCTGGATCGGAACGAGCGCTTCGGGCGCGCGGTGGGCGCCGGCAGCGTGGTGGACGTGATGCCTTGGCTGCTGCGCTTCCCTAACCCGGTGCGCGCAGCCTTCGATGACTTCAGGCGCGCCAACGAGGACCTCTCCGAGTTCGTGCGCGACAAGGTGAGGCAGCGCAGGGGCGCCGCGGCGGTGGTGGGGCCCGGGACTCGCTCCGTGCGCGACATGATGGACGCGCTCATTGCGCACGTCGATGGGGGAGCGGTTGCAGGAGGAGGAGGAGCGGCAGAAGCAGCAGCAGGAGACGGAGAAGGTGGAGAAGCAGCAGGCGGTGGACGAGGAGGAGGAGGAGGCCCTCGGCTGGGTGCGAGCCACGTGGAGGCCACGCTGTGCGATGTGTTCGGGGCCAGCCAAGACACCCTGTCCACGGGCCTCCTGTGGCTCATCCTCCTCGCCGTGCGCCACCCGGAGGAGCAGGCGCGGGTGCAGGGCGAGGTGGACCGCGTGGTGGGGCGGACGCGGCTGCCCTCGGCGGCTGACCGCGCGCGAATGCCCCGCACGGAGGCGTTCGTGTGCGAGGTGCTGCGCTACAGCAGCTTCGTGCCCGTCACCATCCCTCACGCCACCACGCGGGACACGCGGCTGGCGGGCTACTCCATCCCCAGGGACACCGTGGTCTTCGTGAACCAGTGGTCGGTCAACCACGACCCCGGGGTGTTCGAGGAGCCGCACGCGTTTCGACCCGCGCGCTTCCTCGACGCCGAGGGAACCGCGCTCGACAGGGCCCTGGCGCGCAGGGTCATGATCTTCTCGGCGGGCAGGAGACGCTGTATCGGCGAGGAGTTGTCCAGGCTCGAGCTCTTCCTCTTCACAGCCGTGATGCTCCACCAGGTGGACTTTGTCGCGCCGCCCGGACACGGGCCGCCAGGCACCGAGGCGGTGTGCGGCGGCCTCACGCTGAAGCCGAAGCCCTTCTCGGTGGCCCTGGTGCCCAGAGGCGATCCCCTCGGCCCTGGCTGTGCGCCGCAGCCGTGAACTCGCCACGGGGCCGGGACATGGCACAGGAGTGGGGAGGTGATGAGCCACAGAGGCCCCGGGCGGTGGCACGGGTCGGAGGGGCCGAAGACGTTCCTTGTGGTGGTGGTGCGCAATAGCAAAGCAAATTCGAGCGCTGTACCTCGACCTATAACCATCTAACCAGACACTCGTTGCAGGCGAAACCTTAACTAACTCGGCGATGAGCCACGTGTGCAAGCATTCTCAATTAATCTCACCTTAACTCGCCACACATACTAGCGCTCTCAATGGTTTAACCAAATAGCCAACCAGCCACTAGATATTACTCTCCCTTCCATTGAACCTAGCCTTACCCCTAAGTCTAGCTAACTAGCCACTATGGCGAAGCTAAGCCCCTAACCCTGACCAACTAACCATCAAACCATTGTTGATATAGCCCTCCTACTTAGCCTAACAAAGCCCCACAGGCTGTGTGAATTACTGCGCTCATCCGGCAGTAGTTTTTTTTAATTAAAGGCTATTCTTTGGGTCTTTCGATAAAGTCACGTGGATAGGTTCAAAGAAAAAACTACGACGTTCCGATCGCAACACAAGCGGTCGTCATCAAAACATTAAAGGGCTGTTTTGATCAGCTCCGCGGTAACGGAATTACAGCACGGGGGCGCAGAATATGATCAAAACAAAATGTAATTTATGCTTCATTTGGAATTCTATAGTTTATCCGTGTTCTTGCACAGTGAGGTGAGTATTTTATATATACATATAAAAGTATAGACGGTGTATTTGTGTCCATCGCCATGAATGCATTCCTGTAGTCAGAGCCGGATCAAGGCGTGGGGGCTTCAGGGGCCGCAGCCTAAGGCCCTCCACCAGCTGGAGGGCCTCCAGAGATGAAGCGAAAAGTTTTTTCGTTTTGTGAAAGCTGCATTTTATTTGTTGTTAGCCTTGTAAAAAAAAAACAACGCTATTTTTAAATTTTGATTTAAAGCTTTCGTGACTGCAGTAATTCATATTCTTAGTTTTTTCGGTAAAGTCACGTTGAAGGGAAACAACAAAATAATAAAATATATAAAACAATAAAAAATTCTCACGACGTTTCGACCATAACTCAAACGGTCATCTTCAGGTGTGTTGGTTTGCATAAATTTATTTTTAAACGGCGCATTTATTTATTTATAAAAAACGTTAGCGCCACGCGCAACGATTTGGCAGTTTTTTTTATAAATAAATAAATGCGCCGTTTAAAAATACATTTATGCAAACCAACACACCTGAAGATGACCGTTTGAGTTATGGTCGAAACGTCGTGATAATTTTTTATTGTTATATATATTTTATTATTTTGTTGTTTCCTTTCAACGTGACTTTACCGAAAAAACTAAGAATATAACACTATTTTTAATTTTTCTTTAACTTTGTTTTCCTTTTGAAAATATTACTGGGGGCCTCACCTGTAGCCCAGGAGCCTACAACATCTAAATCCGGCCCTGCCTGTCGTGCTCGCGTGCCGGAGTTGTGCTGAGATGGAACGGCTCACATTGTCCACTGCTCGTGCAGTGGACAACGTGGGCGATGCCACCTGTAGACAGTACGAGTATATACTGCACTGACATGCAGAATACACGTGTTATTTGCAATAATTAGCTTATCATTGAATGGTTTATTGATCACAACCTACATTTAACGAGTGGTGCAGCATTGATAGGAGAAGATTCGCGATTATATTACGTATATAAATCAATTCTAGATTTGAGGCTTTCGTGACTGCAAGGATTCATACTCTTTGGTTTTATTCGGTAAAGTCACGTAGGTAAAACGAATTAAAATAAAATGAACAATTAAAACACGACGTTTCGGAGGCAACGCAAGCTTCCGTCTTCAGGTGGGACCAGTCACAGCCAAAATCGCTGCACCAGCGATATCGCTATCATAATAGAGACAATTAAATGATCTCAAACACAACCTACACATCACCGTCATCAATTCCAATAATCTTATATTGCGATGATGAGCATATAGGGGAGGGCTGATGTGGAGTGCAGTGGCTTGGCCATTGAGCTGTGAAACTGTCGACCTGAGTTGGATTCCCGGCTAACATCAGCGGCGAGTAATATGAGTGAGCTCTTCCCTGGCCGACGCGGCCAGGGAAGAGTCTCACTGTGTGTTCGCCGTGGCTTGGAATCGAACTTGGGTTTCATGCCGGGTCCACAGTGCCGTGTGCTAAAAACGACTGCGCCACTGATCCATCCATAATTATACACAAATAAAAACACATTTCAATGAACCCTACTATCATGTGATATCTCTTTACAATTGGAAATCCAATTGAATAAATGTCTCCACGAAAGAAAACCCGAACCCACTCGTCAACAACGCCGCCTTTAAAAAAATATATCGTCGACGTTTCAGACAATATCCCTTCTGTGCTATGAAGGGCCATCTTGCCCGAAACATCGCCAATTATATATATTTAAGGCAGTATTGTTAAGTGAGTTTTGTTGTTGTGCTTGTGCGTCACTGCCAACGCAGCATCACCAAATACTGTCATGTGTTTTGATGCCCACACAGTTCGAAGAGGCGTTAATAAAATATTTACGCACACAGCTAACGGATAATATACTGCATACCTGCACAGGAAAGAGTGTGTGTACCATGTTCGTCTTCTGTTCGGAGCAAGGTACAATACGCAGACCTCTTTTCGCCCCAGGTCGTGGCTGCACAGTACACGATATTGCATTTTACGATTGTGCCAAATGCATTGGTGGAAAAGATGTTTAGCGCACCGGCCGTTTTATGTTCTACAATCCACAGGAATGTGAATTGGCTACGACATTCACGTGTCATTCGTAATGTTACGCATGGCAACGTTTCTGCACAGCTTGAGTTTGCGTGACATCATAACAGGGAACGGCATATGCGGTGAAGGGAAATCCACACGTGAACGTCGGGGCCCATGGTGGGGAGTTCAGCAGGTGTAGCTCGTGTTTATTTTGGAAGAATAGTTTACTTTCATTTGTTACCCTTTGTCACCTGAATTGTTTTCAAACTATTTAACTATTAAGGCCCACTGAGCTATGTAGCTCTTTTTCAGAAGCGACCTAGCCACAAATGATAGCTCAACGAAGTGGCTTATCACGTGGACATTTATAGCAGCCAAATTCTCTAAACGCGTGATGTTGATTTTAAATGTGCAGGGAAAACCAGAGGGCCTGGACAAAATCAACGCGACCACGGGGAAAGAGAAAGACACGCAAACTCCAATTATACAGCAGGCGTCAGGGTAGGGATCGAACCCACGAACCCCGTGCATAGCAGGTGAGGTAGTTAGTGTCTCCTAGCAGGTGAGGTAGTTAGTGTCACCTACCAGGTGAGGTAGTTAGTGTCTCCTAGCAGGTGAGGCAGTTAGTGTCTCCTAGCAGGTGAGATAGTTAGTGTCTCCTAGCAGGTGAGGTAGTTAGTGTCTCCTAGCAGGTGAGGTAGTTAGTGTCTCCTAGCAGGTGAGGTAGTTAGTGTCTCCTACCAGGTGAGGTAGTTAGTGTCTCCTAGCAGGTGAGGTAGTTAGTGTCTCCTAGCAGGTGAGGTAGTTAGTGTCTCCTAGCAGGTGAGGTAGTTAGTGTCTCCTAGCAGGTGAGGTAGTTAGTGTCTCCTAGCAGGTGAGGTGGTTAGTGTCACCTAGCAGGTGAGGTAGTTAGTGTCACCTAGCAGGTGAGGTGGTTAGTGTCACCTGGCAGGTGAGGTAGTTACTGTGACCTAGTACGTGAGGTAGTTAGTGTCTCCTAGCAGGTGAGGTGGTTAGTGTCACCTAGCAGGTGAGGTGGTTAGTGTCACCTGGCAGGTGAGGTGGTTACTGCGACCTAGCTGGTGAGGTAGTTAGCGTCTCCTAGCAGGTGAGGTGGTTAGTGTCTCCTAGCAAGTGAGGTAGTTAGCGTCACCTAGCAGGTGAGATGGTTAGTGTCACCTAGCAAGTGAGGTAATTAGTGTCTCCTAGCAGGTGAGGTAGTTAGTGTCTCCTAGCAGGTGAGGTGGTTAGTGTCTCCTAGCAGGTGAGGTAGTTAGTGTCTCCAAGCAGGTGAGGGAGTTAGTGTCTCCTAGCAGGTGACGTAGTTTGTGTCTTCTAGCAAGTGAGGTAGTTAGTGTCTCCTAGCAGGTGAGGTGGTTAGTGTCTCCTAGCAGGTGAGGTAGTTAGTGTCTCCTAGCAGGTGAGGTAGTTATTGTCACCTAGCAGGTGAGGTAGTTAGTGTCAACTAGCAGGTGAGGTGGTTAGGGCCTCCTAGCAGGTGAGGTGGTTACTTGTCTCCTAGCAGGTGAGGTGGTTAGTGTCTCCTAGCAGGTGAGGTAGTTAGTGTCTCCTAGCAGGTGAAGTAGTTAGTGTCTCCTAGCAGGTGAAGTAGTTAGTGTCTCCTAGCAGGTGAGGTAGTTAGTGTCTCCTAGCAGGTGAGGTAGTTAGTGTCACCTAGCAGGTGAGGTAGTTAGTGTCACCTAGCAGGTGAGGTGGTTAGTGTCTCCTAGCAGGTGAGGTGGTTAGTGTCTCCTAGCATGTGAGGTAGTTAGTGTCTCCTAGCAGGTGAGGTAGTTAGTGTCTCCTAGCAGGTGAGGTAGTTAGTGTCTCCTAGCAGGTGAGGTAGTTAGTGTCTCCTAGCAGGTGAGGTAGTTAGTGTCTCCTAGCAGGTGAGGTGGTTAGTGTCACCTAGCAGGTGAGGTAGTTAGTGTCACCTAGCAGGTGAGGTGGTTAGTGTCACCTGGCAGGTGAGGTAGTTAGTGTGACCTAGTACGTGAGGTAGTTAGTGTCTCCTAGCAGGTGAGGTGGTTAGTGTCACCTAGCAGGTGAGGTGGTTAGTGTCACCTGGCAGGTGAGGTGGTTACTGCGACCTAGCTGGTGAGGTAGTTAGCGTCTCCTAGCAGGTGAGGTGGTTAGTGTCTCCTAGCAAGTGAGGTAGTTAGCGTCACCTAGCAGGTGAGATGGTTAGTGTCACCTAGCAAGTGAGGTAATTAGTGTCTCCTAGCAGGTGAGGTAGTTAGTGTCTCCTAGCAGGTGAGGTGGTTAGTGTCTCCTAGCAGGTGAGGTAGTTAGTGTCTCCAAGCAGGTGAGGGAGTTAGTGTCTCCTAGCAGGTGACGTAGTTTGTGTCTTCTAGCAAGTGAGGTAGTTAGTGTCTCCTAGCAGGTGAGGTGGTTAGTGTCTCCTAGCAGGTGAGGTAGTTAGTGTCTCCTAGCAGGTGAGGTAGTTATTGTCACCTAGCAGGTGAGGTAGTTAGTGTCAACTAGCAGGTGAGGTGGTTAGGGCCTCCTAGCAGGTGAGGTGGTTACTTGTCTCCTAGCAGGTGAGGTGGTTAGTGTCTCCTAGCAGGTGAGGTAGTTAGTGTCTCCTAGCAGGTGAAGTAGTTAGTGTCTCCTAGCAGGTGAAGTAGTTAGTGTCTCCTAGCAGGTGAGGTAGTTAGTGTCTCCTAGCAGGTGAGGTAGTTAGTGTCACCTAGCAGGTGAGGTAGTTAGTGTCACCTAGCAGGTGAGGTGGTTAGTGTCTCCTAGCAGGTGAGGTGGTTAGTGTCTCCTAGCATGTGAGGTAGTTAGTGTCTCCTAGCAGGTGAGGTAGTTAGTGTCTCCTAGCAGGTGAGGTAGTTAGTGTCTCCTACCAAGTGAGGTGGTTAGTGTCACCTAGCAGGTGAGGTATTTAGTGTCTCCTAGCAGGTGACGTAGTTTGCGTCTTCTAGCAAGTGAGGTAGTTAGTGTCTCCTAGCAGGTGAGGTAGTTAGTGTCTCCTAGCAGGTGAGGTAGTTAGTGTCTCCTAGCAGGTGAGGTAGTTAGTGTCTCCTATCAGGTGAGGTAGTTAGTGTCACCTAACAGGTGAGGTAGTTAGTGTCTCCTAGCAGGTGAGGTAGTTTGTGTCTCCTAGCAGGTGAGGTAATTAGTGTCTCCTAGCAGGTGAGGTAGTTAGTGTCACCTA